ATTATAATAATAATAATAATATAGTCAAGGAAACTGGTAAAATTTGTAACACTATAAGCACTATATCAGAAAGATGTTCTGCCCAACCACATTCCTGATAAAGACTTGCGATTCTTTTCATTTTTCACTGCAATTCACTCATATATGCACAAGTATTTTTGGACATTTCGTCCATTTTCTTGAACACTTCAAACACCTATGCAGGTGTAAACTCATACTTTATCTTAGAATAGCTTCTGAGAAAACTTCTGAAATTTCCCAAGTTGTACCACAGGTTTTACCTTTTATTTATGGTGGCACCAAAAAGCACAAATTTTATGAACAAGAAAATTCGCACCCTAAATGGTATAGTTTGAGGTCAATTTCACCATGTTTTACCCGGCTTTCTCTTCGGGAACATGACGCAATTCATTTCAAGTTCAACTAGAGATTAAGCGCCAAAGAAGTACATAGCAAGTTTATCAATGTCTCTTTCACATACCGTGTACTTCTTACTCTAAAGTTATCGTTTAGCTTACTCAATTTTTCATATCACTTTTATATTTATACGTGTGTCGTCGCTGAAAAACAACACTTATTTTTCCTCTTGTCACATGTTCTGTCCAACGTACAGGTCGATACTTTTCTATTTTGTGTATTAGAACACGAAAAATTTCATGTTGACTCTTTTCTAATTTTAAACCTGGAAAAAAAATGTTTTTTAAATACGCTAAAAAAACATCACTAAGGAAATTTGGGAATTTATCTTTATAGAGATCTTTTTCACGCATTTCTATTGGTCGAAATTCGAACCATTGCAACATTTGTCGAATTTCAGAAACCAGAAACTCTTGAGCTGTTGGCACAGCTGAGCACATTTTCGAGCAAATAATTTACGATAATACTAAATCGCAGTAAAGACATTAAATATATTGCCTTCTGATTAGCTTTTTCTTTTACTTTCACAAATTGCTCACGTGCATTACTTCGAATTTCCGCCGGTAGAAATGCGTGAAAAAGATCTCTATAAAGACAAATTCCCAAATTTTCTTAGTGATGTTTTTTTAGCGTATTATGATTAGAATCAGCTGAAATAAGAAAATTATGATAAAAGAAACGATCTGGCCGCAGTAGAAGTAAAAAATCGAGTAAAGAGCTCTCTTAAATCATTAAAAGACGATCAATATTTTACGAATTTCGAGGCTCAAGATGATGATGATGAAGACGACGTTTGCCAAAAAATTGGCTACAGCCATTTTGTAGAGGTCGATGAGCACTATCTAGTCTGATAATAATTATAAAAGATTTTCGGGGAGATTTTGAAAACGACTGAAGGGTATCGGGCTAATTCTTTCGCTATTTTAGTCAGGCTTTGTGCCTCTATATTTTCGTGTATAGCAGCGAAGGGTTTTATTTGGATTTGAGAGGAAAATCCTGAAAGTGCTCCTAAAACTTTGGGCCTCTGGAAAACCATGTTCCACGTGTTTTTTGAAAAACGAGTCTAATTTTCTAAGGCTAATTCTTTATGTATTACCCGATGCCGATATTGAAATCTTCGCAGCCGTGAGGTCATGTAATGGTGGGCAGATCTGAATGGAAGTAACCAGATGTCGTCCATCATGTCGTGATCAATGCTTGTTGCCAAGTACCGCTGTCGTGGTAGTTTCTTCTTCGTTGAGCCCAGTTTATAATGTCAATTGTCAGCGGTTTGAAGACGTTTCATGTTGTGTGGGATTCTATATGTAAAAATTTTATGTCTTAAACGCGTTTAGCGTTGCTGGGCGACGCGTCTGCACTCTTAGAATCTCGCCTGAAATGTGTCAATCTTCAATTCATTCTGAATTAGTCATACATCTGTTTTGTTTTCTGTTTTTCTGTTTTTGTCTCACTAAATTGAGAGGATCGGTTTTATATTGCAGAAATCCAGTCTCTTCTTGTAAAATCAATTATTGTGAACCAAATAATTCGAAATGTGGCTTAATCCTTCTGGGTAATAGTGGTGCTGGTAAATCATTCATAGCCAATATACTACTTGGTGAAGATAGATTTCAACATGCATATCGACCAACAGCTGTCACACGCAAAACAGACTCTGCTGAATTGACAATCGGTGATACAACCTATGCTATTTTTGATATTCCAGGCCTGATCGAAGCTAAACAAGAACAAATTGATCTAAATAAAACTGAAATCGAAAAAGCATTTCAACAGCGTCCACTATCAATTATTTTATTTGTTTTTCGTAGTTGTGGTGGACGGATTTTAGATGAAGATCTCATTGCATTTCGAGCTATAAATGAAGCTTATCAATTTAATTTAACCTCGTTGATATTTGTTCTCAATAATTTAGACCCAAAGCGCGACTCAGAGTATGAAGGTCAAACAACTGCTCTATTACAAGAAATATTAGAATTAAAACAAATTAAATTATGTTTTCTTGATCATATCGATGTTCGTGATAACGAAGCACGAGAGAATTATCGTAATGAGCTTGCTCTATTCATTCTTTATTGTACACCAAATACTCATACAAAGCGTCATCAAATCAAACTACATGCAGACAACATGAAACAATTAAAACAGAAAATGAAACAAATGCAGTTAGATTTTCAAGAACAAATTGCTTTGCGTCAACAAGAAATTAAAGAGCTACAAATAGAATATAATACATATAAAAAGTCAATTGAAACGGAAATCAATAATTTGAAACAAAAACTGGCTCAATATGAAAAACAAAAATCTAATTGTATCATTTTATAATACTAGTAATTATAATAATAATAATAATATAGTCAAGGAAACTGGTAAAATTTGTAACACTATAAGCACTATATCAGAAAGATGTTCTGCCCAACCACATTCCTGATAAAGACTTGCGATTCTTTTCATTTTTCAAAGAACTTTCGTATAAAAACCCTTCAAAATCCTTGAAGACCTAAAAACTGTCAGTTCCTTATTCTTGCCAAAGACTATTCGAGACAGGAACCTATTACCTCGAACAGTAACATCATCTTTTCCTGGTGGAGTAATGATGAGCACTCTCAGTTGTGAATAGTAGTACTTGTCTACCTTTGTAAAATCATTCTGACTATATCCAACATTCAAAAAATACTTGTCCATATGTTGAATCATTCCGCAAGACTTTTTGCTTTGTTGTGGTTTGTAGACGGAATTAAAAGCAGCTATTGTTACTGTTTTATACAGTTCTAAAATTTCCCCCAAGTATGGTGTTTCAGAATGAGTAGAGTTCATTTTATTATTTAGAATAATACGTACATTTCATTTACACTGCGCTCAAATAAAATTCCGTATCAAACGTCTGAGTCAAGACTTAGTTTACTGCGACGTGAGGGTGAAGAGGGAGAAAAAATGTGGAAGACTTTCTGGAATTAGGTTTCTTCGTCGTCTTCACTTTCTTCATATTTTCTGCAAGTTATTCACAATAAAGCAAAAAGTCTTGCGAAATGATTCAACAGATGGACAAGTATTTTTTGAATGTTGGAGATAGTCAGAATGATTTTACAAAGGTAGACAAGTACTACTATTCACAACTGAGAGTGCTCATCATTACTCCACCTCCGTCCTTTCGTATATAGATCGTGACCGTTCAAGCTTACTGACAATGTTTGAACGAAAGTTTCGTTTCAAATATTCGTGCACAACAATGGTGATCTACCAGGAAATCTAAGTGATCAAGAAAACATAATTTAATTTGTCTTTTTAATTCTAATACACAGTTCGTTTCTCTACAGTGGCTCGTGGGCTCAGGTAGGGTGTTCTTGTATGTCTTTATTCTTATTTTCTTGTTTAAGAAAAATTGCTCTTGTAATATGTCCATATCTGCGTACTCTACCCAACAGTCGTAGTCATTGACAGAAAATAAATTGAAAAACATATATGAATATATTTTGTCTTATATAAAATTATAACCATCAATGTCTTTTTATCTCATTCGACTTCGGACGCGAATTCGTCTCATGTCGTTATTTCTTCTTGTAATACATATGGATAGGCATGCAACAATCCCAAGCTAGCTGATCGGTAGCGAATATGTCCGGTCACCGACCGGGTCGCAACCGAACAAGTTCGTTGCGAGCTCCAGCTTGGGGTTGTTGCATGCCTAGTCTGAACTAAAGACAAGTGGCGTGAAACTGAAGTTTTTGAAGGAGCTAACTAGTGAGAAAATAGACTAACTAGAGTACAACGTGAGCGAATGTGTTTTCTATCGGATCGCTACCGAACATGTTCGATCGGTGAGCGATTCGCCACCAAAAGTTTAAAAGAAATAGTTTGTCAAAGCTAAGAGCATGAGAGCGAAGAAATCTCTGTAAAACGCAGAGATGGTGAAGATTACACGAAACAGCAGCAATGATTACGCCATGGCCGTAGGTAGTCATGTAAAGAAAAGTTTGAATTAGAGCAGCAACTTTATGTCTGCTTTATTTCTGGAAGTCCAAAGCACCTTTAGTTTCCACTATATCTGATTTACTTTCTAATTAAACCATACTTTACTAATGTGGCCTCTGTAGCAGATTGATTTAACTTACTTTGTTTTCATGCAAAAAGGCTATTCCTTACTGTGCACATAAAGCAGACAGAAAGTTGCAGCCCTAATTTGAATGTATCTATATAAGGTTTATGGCACTTTCTCCTGATAATTTCTCCGCAAAGCGCTAGCCGATAATCTCTGATGAGAAAAATATAAACTATCGCATTTGCCATCTTTGTCTGAACCCGTTCGGTCGCATCAAGTTTCCAGGCCGAACACGTTCGATGACCGAACTGTTAGATTGGTGCATATCTACATATGGAACAGAAGAAAGTGAGTGAAGAATAAATCTTTAATTTTTGTATGACACTACTCCATACTCATTCCCTTCCCACTATGACGTATACGTTTGGATATGACTATTAAATGCATTTAATGTTGAATAACACAGACGTTCAAGATGAAATTAAGACGAAACAAAACATTATTCAATTCCAAAAAACAATTAAAGTTCAAAATCAGTGACGAAACGGAAAATGTGTACAAAAAAAGTCAATTTAATTTAAGAGGCGGAGCGGGAATAAAACGTTAAAACGGTAATTTCCCTTCGTGATGAAACTGAGTACCAAGATTTAAAACATTGAGCAATGACGGACAAAGCTTATAGAGACCATTAATGGCGATCGATTTTAATAATTTAAATTGTTTTTTGTTGACATAAAAATATTTTCTCAACCAACGGCGCTTGGCTGCTGTGCCGCGAAAAACGAATCGTTGAATAAGCGAACGGATGGATCGCAGACGAGCTGGTTGGGATAAAAAAAAGAGAAAAAGGTACAGTAAAGGGATGGACACAATAGAGGACCCTCCTATTACAAGACCCCTCTTGAACTCATAACGCAAAAACCACGTTAGAAGATCCCCTTTTTTTATCGATTTTTTGACCTAAAATATGATGATTTTCTGGTTCAATCAAACAGTAATTTTTGCGTTCGTCTTGTTGCTCAACTGTTAGAGTTAATACACAGTTGCTAGACAAAAACAAGTGTGGACGTGTGTGCGATGTTTATATGTGATATGATGCACTGCGAATATAATACAGCAAGAGAATTGTTCTCTGATTTATCTCTCTCTGTCTCTTTCTCTCTCACGCTCACATATTGCAACTCTCACTTCTAAAGAGTTCTTTTGTTTTTATACTAACTGTAAAGTGATAAAAAAAAATGACTGATTTAACACAAAATCCTCATCTTTTGCCGTTAAATTACGATGATAACGATCGTAAACATAATGAAACAGAATCAGATGACAGCATAGAAGTTGATGATTTGCAACAGACATTGAGTGATAATTTTGTTAAAATTGATATTGGTTCAGTTAGCAGTAGCGCTGATGATAAGAAAAGAATGTAGCAAAGCTAAAAAGGATGATGATTTGAAGAAATTGAACGAAAAATAGGAAGAGGACGAGGAAAATTCTGAAGGAGAGAATGATATGAAACAAGAAGATGATCCAATAACTGTACCAGCTGCCTCAAATTCGATAACAACAGGAAGAACAACAACCACAGCTACTACCATGACAACGAAGACAGTTCTTTAGCGTGTGGTGTTCATATAATTTTATTTTTAATCTGAAGTTTTTAAACAATATAATTAATTATTGTGAATAAACTAACTGATGATGTTTCGTAAACAATACAGTACTATAAAATATAGTTCTGTGCAATGCAATACAATGCTACACTAGTATACGATTTCGAAATTTTCTGTACGATGATTTCTCAACCTAAAATGACTATAACTACGAAAGGTCGACCACTAATGGTTGATGACGGGTATTCATATGTAAAAGATCGTCAAACGGATATAAAAACGTACTGGCACATTGCCCATGTGAAAATTTCGAGAGCTTTTTCCCGAAAAATTGCAAACATTCAGGTCCGTTGTTTAGCAAAAACCTGTAGTCAAATTTCCGTATCTCACGTAAAATAAAAACACATTAAGTTTCTTCTGCGTGGTTTTGTAGAAACAAAAACATTTGCGATAAAAGATCATCGTTTTTCATACGTGAAATGTTACTCGTGTAGTTACCTAAAAGCTCCATGCGGTGTTCTGCAAACAGTATCACGGGCAGATCCATCGAACCCAGCCATAGACAACCCTCGCGGCTCGACCCACGAACCACCCACATCGCTCTCCTCGAAGCTAAGAGGAGTCACTTAGAGAAATCTCTAAGTAAATGTTCAGTGGAAAAGGACCGCTTATATCAATATTCCGCTTTCTGGAATTATATACTAGTTACGATGGCTCATCGACGAGTCATCGCAATGAATCGCTTTTTGCATTGTTAAACCAAAAAAAGTTTTGTGAAAATTTTATTCAAGAAGCACACGCAGTATAACGCACAAAAAAAGATTCTGCGAACACAGACAAAAAGCTATCGTTTTCTTGTTTATTTTTGCAGGATAAAAATACAGCGCAGGAAAACGCATATAAGAACCATGGATTATTCTTCAGCGAATGTACCAGACTTTATATCGACTTCCTGCCAATCATACGGCACTTTCAGTACTAGTAGAACTCATCACGGTGTTCACAAAAATCATCTTAAAAATTTTCGACTGGTAAAATTTGATAAACTGAAATTTGACACACGGACCAAAATGACCGCATTGGGTCCGGCCAAGGCTCCCGAAAGACTTTCCAGCTAAATTGTTTTCGCCATAACTTTGCCATTTCAAAAGACGAAAAGTTTAAACTGGGCTTATAAATGCTGCTCATCAATATCGACATCTTTTATAGCAAAAGGATTTTTCTCCGGTGTTCTGGCTTTTTAAGAAAAATTGTACAAAAACGCGATTTTTGGTGCTTTTTCCATTCAGATATCTCTATGAAGACAAAATGAAAACTTAACACCAACGTATGATTTAGAATTCCAATCTCTTGCCTCTCTAATGGCGAAAACCACGGGTCTTCAGTTGTTTTCTAGACTGAATAGTACAGCAAACACTCACCTTTGGTTTTCAATTTTCACAAACTTCCGCTCCCTCCAGCTGGTCCACTGCAAATTCTACAGACTGTCCCCATACTCAGTGTTAATGTATATAGTGAGTACTTCAAAATCCTGAACACTTGTTTTCGGCAGATGCTTTATCTCTGAGAGAATTGATCTCAAAGTTCTGATTTTTGAAAAACTGGGTTTTCTAAAAATCCTAACGGCCGTGAAGTTCATTCCGGAAGTTCGAGCACTCCATTTAATAGCCACTCCACGGATAGCCCGTTCAATTCTCTGCAAAACGAGATGTCAACTAAGTTGCTGCAATGTTCTTTAAAAAACTACTACAAAAAAACAGCAAGCCGACAGTGAACATGTTTATGGAACAGGATCAAAGCTTGTGTACAGCCTGTGGATGTGGGACGATCATACAACTCTCGCTATATATAGAGAATTTTCTTCTTTTCGCATTGATAAGCGCAATCAATCTTTTCACCAGTTAGGATAAAAATAATATGCGATTTTTATTGTCTAAAACTGAATCTTATTCACAACCACAATTTTTAAGCTCAAAACTAGAGATGGGTTATTTTTAAAACATGAGATGAATTAATTTCAAGATGACAAACACCTGTTTACCCACAAAACGCCTATACTTCGAAAATCCACTTTTCCTCTCCTAATGGTCCAATCAAAAGAACAAAAACGCCAGTCGATGCGCCTTTGCTACAATTATCCCACTGTATGTGTTTCATTTCTGTTTGAGAAGGGCCGGTATATACGGAAAAACAGCGGGGGTCCTTTACTAACTTGCCGAGAGGTAAGAGGCACACCTACACAATCATTTACAACAAACTTCTCTTCCAAATTCATCATATGTTCATCATACTTTTTTTCTTTTATCGTTACCATGTGCAAATAATTATCCCAACAACGAGAGCAAACGAAGAGAGAGGTATGGTTCGTAAAACTACCAAGAGAAAAGAAGTGGAAACCCAAACTTTGCAAAGTCTGCAGAGGAGCGAGATCTCTCGCGGAACTATAGCAAATAAATTGCTGTATTTTTAAACTCTCTAAAACAACAACTTCTTTTTACTTATTCTCCTCCATCACTCGTTTGTAATGAAATGCGAACAAGAGCATCTATAACCAGCTACTTGCTCTTCAAGAGCAAGGTAGATAAGAATGTACTACCACAGTTTTTTGCTATCTCTAAATAAAAATAAATACAGGCTGTATCGTCGTGAACGAAAAAGGTCAGCATTGTGACATTCAAGTGTGACTTAGATCAAATCTGCTCTTCAACAGAAAGGTAGATAAGAATGTACCACCACAGCTTTTTTATTATCGCTTAATAAAAATAAACACAGGTTGGTTTTAGTGCAAATTGAAATAAAAATTACCTAGTCACCGAATCATCATATAATTTTCTTTTGTAAGGACCCTAGTGTTTCATCGCTTTTCGTCGGAGCTGGAAAAACGGATATTTCTTGTACTTCTCTTTTTAGTTCAATCAAATATTCTATATTTTCTGCTTTATCTCCTTCTCTTTTTTAGATGTCTGTCACTCAACCTCTAATTTCTGCTCATGACACACACGAGCAGAGTTTGAATCGTTATTTCTCAACAAACACAACCGCGGCCACAAACATGGCCGAAGATGAGATTGCCATTGAAAACAAACGCACGGCCAATGGTTTTCTCAAACCACCGTCATTTATTGTTAAATTAGTCTGTGAGTTATTAGGTACATTGATCTTCGTCTTTTTCGGCGCTGGTTGCGCGGCTAAGCAACCTGGACTTCTACCGGCTTCAACGGCACATGGCTTGGTTACGGTTTGGCTCGTGTACGTGTTCGGACCGGTGTCGGGTGGACATTTCAATGCTGCAGCAACGCTAGCATTTGCATTGACAGGCAAGATGAAACCGTTGGAAATTCTCGGCTATCTCGCAGCACAGGCTGTTGGCTGTCTTATTGCCGGTGCCATGCTCTTGTGGCTCTACGGTAGGGATTCTTCTCTGGGCACACCGTCACTGGCCGAACACGTCACTGTCTTCCAAGCTTTCGGTGTCGAGTTCCTGTGTACCATCTTCCTTTCGTTTGTCATCTTTTTCTCAACTTCGTACCATTCGCATAAGGAAGCAGCCGTACCCATTGGCCTGACGGTTTTCTCGTCGTTCTTAGTGGGTGCTGACCGTGATGGTGCAGCATTGAATCCGTGGCGATGGCTGGGACCAGCAGTGGCCTCGAGTACCTATGCATCTTATGCATGGATCTATTGGGTGGGACCCGTGGCCGGATTCATGTTGGGATACGGATTGTTTAGACTATACAAATTCCTATGGAATTTATAAATGAACTTTTTTAAATTAAAACAGCATAGAAATCGCGATTATCATCGATTCTACGCGAAAAACTCACAATGTGTGTTAGCCGTTAATGATAGTGTAACAGGCTTTTAGCGTGTATTATGGTCTAAACTTGATCAGACAGATTTACTCTTTTGAAAAAATTGGTTTTTGTCTTTATCAGCTTTATGAATTTTTTCAGTAACGAAAACGAATTTCGAAACAAAGCGAGTCGTATTTTTTCAGCGGATCTGACGACGTGTAAATCATGGCTTCAGCTCTTGACACAAAACAGCAGATGAACTAAACAAAGTGATTCATATCGAATTAAATGTAGAATAGAATGATTTGTTAATTGAAAATTTTAACAATTTAATTTAATTCATTATCTTGTGATGTTGATGATGCTCGTTGCTTGATCACCAAATGGTAGATAGCGTAGCAAAATTCCATTTAACCAGCGTAGAACCTCGGTTAGTGACAACTATGTTGGATGACCTTTCAACTGCAAAATTCATCACTTTTCTACCCAGTTTTCAATGCTAAATCAGAAAATAATAGTTTGAAAGTCCACATCGTCAAATAAAATGGAAATTCAAATATTTCAGAATCGGGGGAATTTTTTGATTTTCGAGATTCTTGGAGTTTTTTGATTTTTCTACATGAAAAAATTATAATAAGTGCGAAAAGAAATTTGTTCGAAGTTTGCATTATTTGCACCTTAAATTACAATATTATTTTCATATTAATAAAATATTATTACCATATCTATTACAAAATAGAGATCATTTAACTGATCTTCATTTAATAAATTATGAATAACAACTACATTTATTTTTACAAACATTAGATCTTTTATGTGAACCAAAACCTAAAATGAGAGGTAAGTGATCTTAAAAAATTACAGTTTTGATATTTGAATAGAAAAAAACTTGAGATTGAGAGAGATCTTCCTATAAATTTTTTTTGCTCTCAGTACATCTTTGTAGGGAAATAGTGTTTATAGGAGAGATTTTTGATTAGAACAATTTTTAAAGTTCCTATTCTAGATTCGATCTGCCGCCCTTCATACGTTGCACTTCTCCAACTACACCTTTTCCCATTGCACTAAATTGTGCAAAAGGAAACTGTGAGTTATGATGATACATTCGTACACTTACGTATATATTTAAATAGTCTTTACAACTGATCACTCACATACTGCTAGCTATCCTATGTACATGATAACGCTTCTCTGCGCTCGCTCGGTCCTTTGACTTTAGGAACTTATATCTGCGAGCGACGTTCATGACTTTAAATCGAAGATAAAGCTGATATCCCGCTTCGGTCGGTGTTCGCTAAGAGACTATCTATAATATATCATAAATTTTTCTTTGATTTGGTGTGTACTCTAATGTAAATCTAAAAGGATTTCTCGAGACCCTCCACGGATCCCCAGAGGTGTAAAAATCGAAAAGAGCTGTAAGACTTTCTGAGTTTAAGTCAATGCTCAGGCCTCCCTTAGGTGGGGACTCGGACCTTGGAATGGTGAGAAATGTTGTGAACTTTTCTGATCCTAAGGAAAATCTGCACAATGTAATATCACGTTAAAACGTTTTCTGGAAACACACAGACAGGCTACTATTTTGTAAGGGAATAAATTCTTAAGACAGAAGAATAAAAAAGAGTGCCGTTACCGGAAGGAAGTTCCTCACTCAAATAGTACGAATCAATCAATCTCGCGACATCTATCTCCACCCAATAGAAAACGTTTGCTTAGGTTTTTTCTCTGTGCATCAGTAGATGTTTCAGGTCCGTCAAGAAATATCCGTTTTTCCAGCTCCGACGAAAAGCGATGAAACACTAGGGTCCTTACAAAAGAAAATTATATGATGATTCGGTGACTAGGTAATTTTTATTTCAATTTGCACTAAAACCAACCTGTGTTTATTTTTATTAAGCGATAATAAAAAAGCTGTGGTGGTACATTCTTATCTACCTTTCTCTTGAAGAGCAAGTAGCTGGTTATAGGTAGGTAAGGCAAGTAGCTGGTACTATTCTGATTTGGTTTTCTATATCGCAAACACTTTTGTAACACTGAACATTGAATGTATAATTATGTAGGTAGAACGCTGTAAGATATCGTGTTTGCACACGTTTTTCAATAAACTTTTAAATTACGTGCATCCTAACTCAAATGGCATCGAAAACCTTCGATGAAATGCGAATAGAGACAAGAATTTTTATGGGTATTTTACAGTAGGTATTTTACAAATTTAGAACAAATGCATGACAGATTATACTATTGTGATCTTGACGATTGATTTTGATGATACGCTCACGTTTTTGCCTTTTTGTCTTGACGTCGTTTTAAATATTACGTAAAAGCGTATCAGACATATCAGTCTTCTACGAAAACGTGTGCAGGCACAATATCTTACAGAATTTTCCCTATATAATCACGTTTCTCAAGTGTTTTGAAACAGGAAAAATCAAAACATTCATTATTACTTGCTTAAAAAATTAATTTTATCGCATAAAATTCTTTAACGGTGCAATATTATGAATCTTTTCGTATCTTGATGATAATGGTTGCTTAAATTCTTGTCGCTAAAAGCAAGGATTGATTGAAGAAAAGTATGTGATTAAGCTGAAACAAATCGAGAAAGTTTATGAACTGATTTTGGAAGTGCTCTGATCTTCTCATTCAATCGAAAGTTTATTTACAATATTTATGCATCTAAACACAGTATTTTTTCGATTTATACTGGTTTATGCTATTGAGGAAATGCTTTTTTGTTCATTACTGTAATGTTGGTCTATGTTTCGATATAAGTTCATCTTGATTTGTTCATATTAGATGTATTGGATTCATTTTGTAGAATTGAACATATGCGCTCTGCTTTCTGGATATTATTTACTTGTTTTATTGTCGAAAGACTCACTGTTTCTCAAAACGAAGCCACATTGGAAATCGAATTGTAAAAAATATGACTGTTACAAATCATGTTTACATTGCATGAACTTACTTGATCATATGCGGCTGTCATTGTAGAACTCCAGATTATATATTTGAAACAAAGTCTACAACTTAATGGTATCACAACTGATATGATGGACAAATAGTTTAAATAGAACAGATGAAATTTTTCAAAAACACGTGATGAAATATACCTGCATAGCAAAAAACGTTCAACTTCCTTTCAACGTGATAATAAGGAAAGAAAAAGTCGGAATATTTTTTGCTTAAATTTGATTCTCTCCGTAATCTAGTTTCGGGTATAACTCTTTAAGGCCCCATCCCCCCCCCTCCAAAATCGATTTTCAACATGGTGCATGGAATCTTCATGAAACTCTCTACATATGCTTGATCCATAAAGGTACAAGTGTAAAAAAATTTTCATGGCTCTAGCTCTTTCGGTTCGAGAGATATACAGGTACTAAGGGGCAAAATGGGGGGCCCACGCGTACAAGGATTTTTTCCATACACGTCGAGATGGAGCGCTCGGGCTGGTCTCATTTGAAAGAGGACTCATTGGTGCTTCAGATGAGGGAAAGGGTTTTTTTAATTTTGATTTTTTTTGTTTGGTGGGATCTACAAAACTTTGAAGTTCTGAAAACTCTGTGTAGGATTTTTCATAAAATACCTGATTGCTCATAGATTGAGAGTCAAATAAAAAATTTCTTCTCGTCATCGGAAGAAGGATATATCTATCTATCAAATAAAAAAAACCGTAGTTTAATAGAATAAACTATAGTGAAGAAAAATTTATTCAGAGATTGATATTTTACAAAAAAACTCGGTTTTGAGAAAAACGATAAACAAGTTTTTTTTGTGAATATTACCTGCAACCAACATAAAAATGCAAGAATTGCATGTCAATGGTAAATACGCGTCACAGCGTATTGCACTATGGTTGTCGCGACGTATCCCGCGATAGATGGCGTCACCTATTGGTCGCTATTGTATATAATAATTATAATATTATATAAATATAAGTAATAATAATCCCAACTAACTTAAGTTTTTTTACGAAAATCCCATAAAAAACTTAGAGATTCAATAATATCTTTACGGATTTGTAAAGTAGACAACTCAAGCATCATGTCCATGTGTTTATCTCAAAATCCATTTTTTTGACAAAAATCGACTTTTTGGAGGGGGGGGAAGCCTTAAGTGAGTGATCACATTTGTGTCCACCTTTTCAAGTTTTCATATCGACTTTTATATCTAATACAATCAAATAAAACATAGTGCATATTGAATACAATCAGACGTTGATTTACTCTAACTTCTTACTGACTAACCATTGGATAGTGTAATAGAAATCTTATAAAAAGTGTATACGTACAGTAGATAATCAATCAAGTTTTCATTAAATCAAAACATTCAGTTTTTCATGATCGATTACTGAAGAGTTAGCAACCTTGAACGATTAATGGCTCCGCTCAACATGATTTGTGGATTCCTTAGATGAATAATTTTACAGAAACTTTGTAACTATACAGAATAGTGTTTTCTCTAATACAGCTGCCAGTAAGGTATGTAAAACCTGGGATATTTTTCCATTTGTATATTATCATATTCGTGATTCAATAGCTAATTATAAACGCAGTAACCCCAAATAAGTTGTATGTAAGTTTACAGTAGGTTTCTAACTGACATGTTTAAACAAAAAATGAGCTAAAAATAATATATTGATTTCTGTTTGATTGGAAGGACAAAATAATTCAAAAATAATATATGACGTTATACATGCACTAACCCCCCCC